ATGTAAACGCTTTACTCATTTCATTTATACAGTCTCAAGCTGTATTCAAACGTTATAAGATATGAGGAAACCTTTACTCAACCTCTATACAAGCAAATTTGGCGAACTTAGTCAGCTACTTATGGCTGTTGGAACAGTCGGGAGAAGCTCTTATTTCACATCCATTAACGCTTCTATACATCTGTTATCCTGCTGTTTAGTTGTGTGTGAACTTGAAAGGCGCTTAATTCAACCTTTTCCCGGTTGTCCAATAATCACTACACAGCTTTCTCTTGAAGCCGGGTTAAATACTGTTTACGCTTTTTTATGAAGGAATTTATTGAGTTTATTTTGCTGTGAATTAAATTAATCGAAATTAGTTACAAATCATCACCAAATTATTTACCCTGCACCGGAACCTGGAATCGAACTCGAGACGACCTCATTGGCAAACCTTGACACTACCAACTGTGCTACGCCAACACTTTGAACTTATGTAAACAAATCAACGTTCCCTTCTACAACAAAATCGCTGAGTAGAGGCTTTATAATAGTGCACATGAATCACTTTTCTCGACTAGTTACTTCAGCTTTGTACAGTACAGTGCAGTATTCCAACGTAGATCGTACGAGAGAGCAATAGAGCGATTTCAAGCAGTAAATGTCCGTGAAGTTCTTAGTAATCTTAAAGACAAATCCAAGCGTTCTGGACGCTTTGTCGACGACATACGATATATGGTGTGAGTATGTCAGCTTTGAGTCTAGAAAAACGCCTAAGTCTTTCACGCAGTGCACCCGTTCGATAGTCGTGCCTAGTAGTTTGTAGTTGAAAATAATCGGTTGTTTCTTGCGTGAGAAAGTAATAACTGTACACTTAGCTGGGTTGACCACCAGTCGGTTTAGACTACACCAGTCAGCAAAGATGTCAATCTGATTTTGGAGAGAACGGCAGTCGGCGAGTGAGCGGATGCGCAGAAAAACTTTCAGATCGTCTGCAAACGATAATCGTGGCTCTGTGATAACATGGTGAACGTCGTCGAAGTAGAGGAGAAATACCAATGGTCCCAGATGGCTGCCCTGAGGTATACCGGACTTTGCGCAGAAGCTTGCTGAGCGACAAGTACCCAAAGTTACTGTCAATTGGCGCTCCGTGAGGTATGAACGAAACCATCTCAAAAGATTTCCACCGATCCCTAGCCTATCAAGCTTAGCGATCGCAATTTCGTGGTTCAGCTTATCGAAGGCTGCCGTAAGATCTGTGTAGATAACGTCCGTTTGGGTCCGAGCAATCAAACTGTCTGTGATGTAAGACGTTAGGCACAGAAGGTTCGTAGTTGTGGAACGCCCAGTTATGAATCCGTGTTGATCTGTACTTAGATATTGCCTGCAATGCGCATTTAGGGACTCTATGACAACCAATTCAAAAAGTTTTGATACAGCACTCAGCGATGTGATTCCCCGGTAGTTGTTTACGTCGCGTTTGCTTCCCTTTTTATGAACAGGAAACATATCCGCAGTCTTCCAGCAAGACGGAAAGATGCCGCTGGAAAGAGAGAGCTGGAATATGCGGCGCAGTGGATCTAAAAGACAAGTGATGTTCTTTTTAAGAATAATCGACGGAACACCATCGGGTCCAGCCTTAGTTGAAGTCTTAAGTTTAGATGCTGCTCTAGAAATCGTATCTGTAGTGGCTTCGACCATGCTGAGCGTTTGGTTGATCAAAGGAACATTACTGGCCGCGGAAGTAATGATATTAGCGGAGAGTTGCTCGGCTACAAACACACTAGCAAATTTGGCTGAGAACAGGTTGCAAATGTCTTGTTGATTTCCAGCAGTTTCACCAAAGATGAATACTAAGATGAAACTGTCGGAAGAAAAACTTTCTATTTTAGTGTCCTCTTTCACGGTCCCTTTCATCCAATGAATACCCCCCGTATTCAAGGTAATTTTGTGGTTTTGCTGCCCCCTCGGTAGAGATGAAATTGTGCGCTCTTTTTTATCAAAACAAACACACCAAAATCAGAGATGTCTCATTTTTTAATTACTCGATTAACAACTAATCGACTTTTTTTTTTGTTCGCTGTGCTGCCATTTTTCCACCAATGAGAGTGCAGCACATGTTTGAAACGATCGGTGATGATCCTCTGGATATGTTAATGCTTATATCGGCATGATATAACCGATTACAAATATTTTACTTTTCGGTTCGTTAATCGATTAATCAATTATTCGAATGAAAATCGGCCATCACTAGATGAATGTGAAACGTCATTTCAAATATAAGGACCGTACATAAATAATGATACAACTTGAAAGGGACCGGAGCTAATCATAAATTACGTCCCCACGGTAACTGAAATAAACACGAGTGTTCACCGGTTGGTTTCACCATTAAAAATCATGGAATAGGGTTAGCCGACTTCCCTGCGTTGCTCATTTACGAAGTTCCAGAAGGATTTCGGGTGTGATTTTAGCCGCCGTTGAATCCTCCTTTGATAGCGTTGAAAACAGAGACGACTTAACCGCTTATACTCGTGGTTGAGTCTGACATAGTAGCATTTCAGTGGCAGTGTGCGGAGTTTAGTAAATCTTCTGAGAGCAGCCTTCTTAGTTCTTTTCAACGAGCGAAGATCTTTCGTCATCCACGGGACGCGAGAGTCGATATGGATGATCTTTTTGGAAACGTGTCTGTCAATGACATATGCCAAGATGTGAGAAAAGGTTTGTGCAGCAATGTTGACGTCTACAGGATCTAGAATATGCTCCCAATCTAGATTAGACAGCACATGGACGATACTGCAATGGTCAGCTCTACGGAAGTCATATGACACAGCGTTTGGAGTGCTGGTGAAATCATGGACAATATTATTTTCGATCACGATAACTAAAGCAGGGTGATGATGCACTACCTTGACTAAAGGTTCGGGTGCCGTGGAGAGGAAAGGAGCTGTATCACGAGCACTCACAAAGCAGAGATCCAGGGTGCGGTTGTTTTCATTCAACAGGCCATTGATTTGTGACAGAATTGCGGTACTATAACTGTCCAGGAGCTGGATGGTTCCTACGTGGAAAGATGAACGCTCGTGATCAGGACAAAAGAAACCACTATGGGTTGGAGTCCATGCAATGTCCGGTAGGTTAAAATCGCCAAGAAGAATAACTTCGTCGGAAGGGCCTGCTTTGTCTGAAGCGGCCAAGACGGATCGACAATGTGCGTTAATAAGCTCCAAGTCACGGGTTCGATCTGGAGGAATGTACACTGCACAGAGAAGCAATTGACGATCACCAAGTTGAATCGCCACCCACATTTGTTCAACCCTGTTCCAGGAATCGTCCTCGATAACTTCTGCTTTCAGCTTGGAATTAACTGCGATAAGGACGCCTCCCCCAGTAGTTTTCCTACTATTATTCGTGTTTCGATCGCAGCGAAATATTTCGTAGCCAGCATATAACATATAAGGTGTGATAAAAAGAGCTGAGTGGCAAGATCTTCAGGAAGTCCATCTAGCTTCTTGGTTGCGCCGATGACATCGACATCAGTGTACGGAACTTTGAGACGATGGCGGAAAGCTACTGTGTTACCTGACTTATAGCGAACGGTTGTATACGGTTGTATACGAGCAAATGCTAGGTACGTTGTATTCGGGGTACTCGTATATAACGTATATTCGTTATAAGTCATGTTACACAGTAAACGGATTGGCCTTGTCATCACCGCATCGAAGACGAAATACATGAGAGGAAGAAGTTCTAGGGAAGACGATTTTAGCCTCCCACCGTCAGATTGACGGTGACGAAATCGAGGTGGTTGACGAGTTCGTGTATTTGGGCTAGCTGGTGACCTCCGAAAATGATACCAGCAGAGAAATTCAAAGACGCATTATGGCAGGTAATCGTGCCTACTTTGGAGTCCGGAGGACACTCAGGTCGCCGCCAAACGAAATTGACTATCTACAAGACGGTGATTAGACCAGTGGCTCCAAAGGGCTGAAAGGGAATTATTTCGAGAGTCGAAGTGACTTTTGTCACTAGTGAGGTGTCAAAAATCACGTGGTGGTGTTGTGACTCACTGTGCAATTCAAATGCACACTTCGACTCTCGGAATAACCCCCAAAGTACATTCAATAAAGAAAACCAACTGCTTCATTCCATGTGTTAAATGACGTTTGAGCAATTTTTAGATTACACAGCGTTCAGATTAAAGGGATTCAAATTAAAAAGTTTTCAGATTACCGGTGGTCCACGGAATATGAAACATCCAAATAACATTACTAAGCCAAATGTTTACGAATGTGTTCGGTTTTACTATGATGATTATGATTATGCGAAATCCTTAAAATCTTGACTGAGTTTGAAAATAGGCCATCTAGGTTATTTCGTGCTAGAAACCGAAAGCAATTTATTTTCAAAACTTCTCCCCCTCATGGCTTTCTCAAGAGTTGCAATCCATTAAACTTTTCCAATACCATAATGCTTTATTTATACGAATGGTTTTCAAGAAAGTCAAATTGTACTCTCCTGCAGCGTGGCCATAAATACAGATCTGTCCAAGGATTTAAATCAAGAAAAAAAATTGGCCTGAAAACAGTGAGATGGAAACCAATACAATAGACGAAAAACGAAGAAAACTTCTCACTCTAACAATATTACAAAACCGAAATGTTACAAAAAAAAACTAAAATTCGCCCTAAAACAAGTTAACCATCTCTTCAATAATGGGACTACCAATACATTTCCTTCTGAGAGTGGATCGATGATCTTTTAGTTGATTAATTTGTGGAAAAAATATCTGCAATCGGGTTCTGATCGCCTCACAGCGTTACGTTTGATTATCTTTTTGTTTTGAAATTGATCAGGACAAGGTACTAGACTTACATTACAACACACACAACCGATTCGGTGATTATTCGGCAATTTTTCAGATGGATTCCTTTCCTCAAGCTTTTGATTAGTTCTTCTGTTTTCTCTTGTCCCCTGCGCTTGGTTGGATGCTTGGTTTAACTGTGTTCTTCGTTTCAATTTTGAAGGAATATTAGATAGGCCAAAACAATATACAGGTATTTTTTTTCTAGCAGGTTGCAGAAATAGATTAATTTTGTGTTTTGCTGCTTTTAGTATGTGTGTGAGAGAGTAAATGTTGTTTGTATATTGTAATATAAACTAATGACGCCGTCTAAACGTGGCTAGATAATGATCCTCTTTCAAGATAACGCACCGCTATGAAACTCGGGAGCGTTTCCACGTCCGCGGCCTCGGCCTCGCCCGCGTCCTCTACCTCGCCCCCTGCCCCGCCCGCGTCACCTTCGACCATCCCCCATCCCTACTAGGTCTGCAAGTAGGAGAAAAGAAAGAAGAAGAAATACGATTAATCATTGAGAGGGGACTGCAAACGAAATTCCATTCCGGTGGATCGAATCACGGACAGCTGGCGGCTCACCTATATTGCTGGCTGTCTTCTCCAGGTAAGCCAAAGGCCCTTGGAGATTGGGACTTTGTTGAAAACCGGGCCCACCAGCGCCAACTCCACGTCCTCCGCCAGGCTGCGGAAACAGTTGTGGGTTTGCTCCTATTGGCATTGACATCTGTTGTTGCATTTGCTGGACTTGGAGCATTTGCATTTGCTGTTGCTGGGCTTGTTGCATTTGTTGAACTTGCATCGAATTCTAAAAGACATAAGCTTTGAAACATCAACCAATTCCACCTATGAAACAATTGGATACCTGCATCGGCATGCCCATTCCGATTCCCATTCCCGGACCTCCGGGACCTCCTCCCGCTAGATTTCCACGCATTTCCGGTGGCAAAGATTGAATCGGTTTGTTGTAATTCTGTTGATCGGACAGCAAATTCTTCCACGACTCAATCTTGTCATAATGTTTCCGGATCAGTTCATCCTTGCGAGCTATCTCCTGCTTGAGATCAAAATTTTCCTCTTTGAGTAGCAAATCCGGCTTCAAAGCTGACAAAAGAAAACGTTTCTGTAAGAAAAATGCCTCCATTTGCCGGGCAAGATCGATGAACTTGAGCGTCGTTTGGTCAACCTCCAGTTTGATTTCATCCTTATCGACGCCGGTGGCAGACTCTTCTTTCGTGAGGGCATGAATGCAGGACTATCGATCAGAAACGTTACTGGTGATTTGAGTCAAACGAATATATTCTAAAAGCATGCTCACCTGGAAAGCTTCCTCTAGTTCATCCACTAAATTTCCATTTACGTTTGAAGATGATGCCATAATAACTATATGGAGGATATTTCAACCTAAAACTAATACGAAATTCTTGAGTTTTTACCAAAAAATTTCACAAGAACGCTAAAAAGCACTAATCAACCCCATTATTCTGTTCTGTCACTGTATAACGTCAAAATAGAAACGCTCAAAAGGAAACACCCTTTTGATCGACTGCCTAAATCATCGCAGTACTTTTTATGTTCATGTTGGTTAGCAAAAGCTATCGATTAAAAAATAAGTTGACGGTTGTCGCCGAGAGAAAACTACACACTAATTGGAAGATTGCCGTAAAAGCTCGACGCAGATGTCGCCACTGCATGATGATGATAATGTTGACAGACTGCATATAAAATTCGTGAAAATTTGCATTAAATCATAATTTTCATCAAGCCTGCGTGAAATCCTTCCAATATAACATTCGAATTGAAGAAGAAAATGTTTTTACGATCAGACTGATGCGCATCTTTGACTTTTCCAGATGAACTTTCATAAGATATATTCATTTCATTTCACGGCTCCATCAATGCTGCATCGTACGTATGATGTAAACAGAAGTAAATTGCTAAATTACTCAAAATAAAGATGATTTGTCATCTTGTTAACACTTTATAAACCATCGAGCACCATTTTATAGTATGATGCGTGTTGAGTAAATCAAGTTCCATTGCGTTTTCCGTCGAAAATTGTGAGTATCAATATGTTTACCTAAAAAAGGTCAAAATGAACATTTATTGAAAATTGGCGTCCTATACAACCATTTCTACATTATCACCAGCATGATACAATCTTTCCTAAGTAAATTCACTTAATTTCCACTTTCATCCTAGTGGAAATCGCACAAATTCACCATTTTCCGAAAAATGCAGCTGCACAGGAGGTAACCTCTACATGTGGGTGTAAACTTGTTGTGCCTAATTTTCCATGAAAACATCTCCGATCCATACCGAAATAATAACAGTTAGTTTGCAGACACGTTTTCTTACACGATTCAAGCAAAAGTTTCCACCGGAAATTATTAGTTTTTTATTTATGTACCGATTTGCCCCCAAAATCGTCTGTTTTACTTGGAGAATTTGGAAACTATCCTCCTTCTAGTAGTTCTCACTTCGAAATGTAGGTGGCGAAAGCTTGGAAAAGTTTCACTGCAAGACGCCAATAAAATTCCACATATTATTATGGACGCATTTCCATGTGAAATTCCACATGATTTTCATGTGACCACACATAAACAGAATCCATCCAGAAGCACACATGAAATTTATGAGTCAAATGAATAGTATGTGTGGTTACACATGGCTTTTATGTGTACACATATTAAGTATGTGTCCGACACATAAATATCATTTGTTGATCACATTGCAAAAATTCATGTGTGGGACACATAAAAACAATCTTTGGAAGCGAACCGAAAAATTACCCAAAATTAAGATCTTTTCAATCATCTCCTATATTCCGTTCAATAAGCTAATTTTCAGTAAACCGCTTAAGGCCCGGCCACGCACATTAGATCCGGATAGGACGCGTTGCGGCAAAGTGACAGCTAAATCTATTGTCTAACTGTCAAATTTTCGTCAACGCAACGCAAACGGATCTAATGTGGGTGGCCCTTTATAGTAGTATACATTTGACTACGGCAAAAATAATTATTTACTCGTGAGTATTTTCTACCCAAAACTAAGTTCAATTGACTGAAATTTGAGAATATCTCATATACTCACTAGTAGCTTATTGAACGATAGTCATGAGAAAGGGCCCATGCATTAATTTATGTCACGCTAAATCGAGCAAAAAATTACCCCCTCCCCCCCTATCGTGACGTTTTTCCTATACCTAATGCATTGCTTGTCACAAAATCTTAGACTCCCCCCCCCCCTTAGAGCGTGACATAATATATGCATAAACCCAAAGTCGAATCCCTCGTTCCGTCATTGACAACAACAAAAAATGAGAGTGGGATGCAAAACTCAAAATTACCCAAAATTAAGTGAAAAGAACTTAAATTTAGGGTAATTTTTTTCTCTGTGTAGCATTTAGCCTCAAATTTTGCGTCAGATTATCCACTGATAAATTAAACTATTCCCATTTTGCTTGAAATTTAATCAATATATTAATATGTACTCTCTTTATAAAAAATAGACACTTGATATTAAAGCCAGTTTAATCATGGTTGATTAGATTGAAAATTATCTATATATTCAATAATTTTTGATTGAATTTTAATCTTTTTTGATTATATTTTAATATTTAAAAAGAATTAAATTTAATACTGGAAATATTATTTAGAGTTTAATCATGCATGACTACTGCCGGACTCAATAAGGTGAAGTGGGAATCTGCATACTTTTTAAGCTTTATTGATTTAATTTATCTTTGAGGGCCAGCTTTAAACACGGGGCAACAATCCTGCAGGGGGACAAGCTGTCTAATCAGCCTACTGATCATTCTTGTATGAAATTGGTTCCAAACGTAAACAAACCTGTAGGTTTATTATAGCTTGTTTACGTTTGGAACCAGTTATACGAGGTAGACGACGATTGTTCGTATTTGACAGCCACATCCACCCTCTGCAACAATCAGGAATTTCGTCATATGTCATATGTGATGAATTTACGGGTTAGGCAACAGACTACTCTTTCTAGCATTCAGCACTGCGATGTAAGTGTGAATGAGTAAGAAGTTTTGTTCTGTCATACCTCCGTCAGTTTTATCACTGTCAGTTTGCCCAAAAGTGTCAGATTGCCCAAAAATGTCAAAATTATGTGAGCTGTGATGCATCTATAGACCTTTTTGACGTTTAATCGTCTTTCTCTATCTAGCATACAGGGATAAATTGATGGTTTATTTTACCACTAATCTGTTGTCCGCTTGCTTGCACTCCTTCAATTCAAAAGGTGCATTAGTGTGCGCCGATTAAATGTCAAAAAACTCTATATGTGGTTGACAGTTGAGAGCCTGAGTTTATAAAGAGACGACATGTAAAATTGGAACAATCGATTATCTGCCAAAGTCATAGGAAAAGTAATTCCAATCGAGCAGAAGACCTGTCAAATGGATAAGATGTTGCCTCTTTACCCAATTCAGTCTCTTTAGTTGACAGGGATAGAGTTCCCCTGGCTTTAATAGAATGCTTTGGTTGTCCGTTGCTTATTTTCCTGAAATGGCAATACCCCTGCTCCATACCTCTAGGATTTGGAATTAGGTTCTGCACCTTGACATCAGTTCAGTGGTACTGTTTACAAGTACTTAAACGTTTTTTCGAAAAAAAATATTCTAAAATTTCCTAATTTTAACTTACAATTACAAATTATCGAGGAAAGGATGTTGCTCGTGGACAATGCAGACATGTGGTTTACATCTCACTGCAGTCAAAAAAATTATCGAGAAAATCTACCGAAGAAAAAATCCGACATGAAACTTAAACTTAACTCTTGATTGAGAATCCATAACCGCAGATTCAAATGTGCAGCGATCTCATCGGTCAAAACCTTAGAAATTTGTTATCTAGATAAAAATAATTTGCCCGGAATAGATTAGACACGAACCAACTTATACATTTTGTATGCGTGTTCGTGACTAGGATACACGTTTTTCACGAACACGGCGGCAGATGTCAGTTTTGTGCTTTGATCAGAAATTTTATGGTACTTTGTATGGTCATTCATGTCGGTTTGTCGGTGGGTTAACCCCGACTGTGCAAAACCTAATTAACTTAAGCATTTCTTTTGAGTGTACAGCTTTTTAAGCTCTCAATTTTTTTGACTGACTTCCGAACTGTCTGTCAATTTTAGCTATAGGTATTGGCAAATCAAAGATGGCGCTCGTAGAGAATAGGAGAACTATGAAAGTTATGATGGTTTCAAAATTTTCCTCGGGGAGGTATACGAGTGCAATTTTAAAATGCTTTTATTTTCAAGGTTATTTTGCAAATTGAACATTTTATTTAAATCTGGTTTGTACTTCAGTGGTAGAAGAGCTGGTATCTATGAATACACCTAAAAATCTGAATTTTTTTCCTTAAGTTTTCTACTTAATAAAAGCGTTTTAAGATTGCACTCGTATACCTCACCGTGTAAAATTTTGAAATCATCATCATCTCTCATAGTTCTTCTATTCTCCATTACACAGCAAAAAATGTAATATCGATCAATGTAATTCAAGCTGATGTATGAAATAATGATGTAATAGCAAAAATCAGATACAATATTACATCAATGGATGTAATTTTGTTCGCAAAATCGATGTACATCGTACAACGTTATAAATATTACCGATGGATTGACCTGGTTGCAGCAGTTTGGATGTAATATTCAACAATTTTTTTTTCTGTGTAGTGTCAACTTTGATTTGCCAATTCCTTACCGACTTTAAGGTATATGCATCTTAGCGTGTACGGTTCGGCAGCAATGAGTGTAAACAGATGAGGTCCAGCAAATTTGTTGTCTCTTTTGTTCCTCCGCTGTTTAAATGGCTGACGGAGTATGACGTCAAACTCCAACATCAATTTAAACAGCGGAGGAATAAAAAAGACAGCAAAATCTGGGCCTCACCTGTTTACGGTTACGGCAGCGCAGTTTACTCGGCAGCTTATGCAATTCGTTCGCCAGTAATGTTGTTTGGATACCGGGCGCATACTTTGTGAAGTAGAAATTTTCCAGTTCTTGAAGGATTCGATGAATACGGTTAAAATGAGATATTCAGTAGGAACGTTAATACGATATCCACTCGTGTTTGGTGGAATAGTGGCAGGATTTACGTTTGCATTTATGAACAGGTATAACTCGATACATTATTGGTTCTGACAAAAACAAAATACGCATTTTTTCAGAGACAAATTTATGACCGATTTGGAAGATGAACGGAAGAGGCTGGACCGAACGGATGAAGCTTCCAAACAGATGCTACTAGATTCGATGGATTCCGTAAATAAAACTCGCACTGTTAAACAATAATGCGAATGCCCAAAAAAATGTCACCTTTTATTTAAAATAATTTTCAATTTATTATCCCACTAAAAAGGAAAGCATCAACAATCCGAAACTTCTTAATCCTTGCGAATACTGGCAGCACGTGGATCTTCTGGGCGCATAACGACATAGTCCATTTTGTAACGTCGATTATCGCAATCTTTCCGGTAGTAGTTGCTCAGGCCAACAAAAGTGAGGCCAATTCCGACCAGAGCCACAACCGATGAGCCGATAACTTCCGGAATTTCATTCCAGCCTCTCTTGAACAAGGCTGTTAGGCCACGGCTGGCTTGAGCACTGGCTGCCATGTTAAACGTTTCGAAAATTGACTAAAATAGTAAAAAAAAAGTTAAATAAAAACCTTTTTTCATAGGAATATTTACAAAACTCACGTAATCACAGAACAATCACTCCACTGTACCTCCTTGTCTGAATTCTGAATCTGAAATTGACAGTGAATGGGTTCAGCTGTCAGCATCGAATGAGAAAAAAATCGCTCACGAAAAGGGCATAAGCACCAGCTGCTGTCATACACTAGAAAGAAAATTTTGGTATCCGATAAGATTTTTATGCGGTCGATTCAAACGTAAATTCGACAGTTAGTATGCATAAGGGCGTATACGCGATGATCGATTCTCTTCATCGATTTTCTCTTTGCATTGTTACAGCTAAGCGAAACAATATTCTAGAATTTGTTCAAAGCAGAGTTTTTTTTTCCTTTGGTTTTGTTTTTCGTCGATCTTGTTTTCCGTGCTGAGCACCAATGCTACCGACGCGCCTGGACCCTACACGGTAACATGCAAGTACCTCTTCGGGGAAGAAAAATGAGTATTATTTTACCCATTATTGGCAAATCAAAGTTGGCACTCGTGGAGAATAGATGAACTATGAAAGTGATGATGGTTTCAAAATTTTACACGGTGAGGTATACGAGTTCAATCTTAAAATGCCTTTATTTTGCAAATGGAGCATTTTATTTAAATCTGGTTAATGCTACGTTAGGAGAAAACTTAAGGACTACTCAATAGATATATAAAATAGAAAAAATAATTTCTTTTCAGATTTTTAGGTGTATGCATAGATTTCAGCTTTTCTACAACTGTAGCAACAACCAGATTTAAATACAATGCTCCATTTTTAAAATAAAAGCATTTTAAGATTGCACTCGTATAGCTCTCCGTGGAAAATTTTTAAAACCATCATCACTTTTATAGTTCGTCTATTCTCCACGAGTGCCAACTTTGATTTGCCAATTGGGTGAAAATTATCTTAATCAATTGAGAAATCCAACTTAAACTCCTGTGCGCCTGGTGGCAGGAATAAGCATTAACCGACGGTGATAAGTCTGTGACAGCCCTTGAAAATTTCATTGATTGTTTGCAAAATTATTTAATTTCAATGTAATTTCATGAAAATTTCTTGTCAGCATGGATGAATCTTGTACAAAATGCATAAAACTATTTTGTAATGCATTGTTCTTAAATAAAAAGCTACTTCAAGACTTATAAATTACTGAAAACATGTCAAGGTTTGAAATCATCTACCGATTAAACAGCAGACAAAGTTGGCCGACTAAATCAATCGACGAAAAACTATTAAATATGCCGATTGCTGGGTGTAGCACCAGACGAAAAACGATTTAATCTGCTGATTAATACACCGGCTGAAATTAACTTTTAGGGTGGCAATAGATTTAGTCGGTGGACGAATCGGGTGATTTGGATGATGTTTGTTTATTTGGAAGATATTTTCGAAACAAAGCACGATATAATTCAGCATTATATACCATTATTACGAGTACTACTTTTTTGCTCGGATGATGTTTTGACTTCCACAGAAACTCGCTAGAATAAATAGAAAATAATAGTTTTTTTGTTGAAATTTCAAAAATGTATTCAGTTTGACACATTATTTCGGACTTATCACCGCTGCGATTGCAGCGTCACTGTGGTCGATTGAAACATGGATTTGTCAATAGTGAATATTGTCTAACACAAAGCATATTACGAGGCCTTAGAAATTGATTTTCTATGCCATCTATGCCTAATAAAATGAGTATTGAAATGTAAGTATTTATTTGAAATATATCTAGGTGGTGTACATTATGAAATTCAGATAAAATTTAATAATTTTCATTTGCTTAATTTCAGATCCACAAGGAAGTGGCCGTGAACAAAGTGTTTCAGGAAGGGATGACAAGAAGAAACGTTCGGCAAAAGCAACACATTGCACAGCAGGGACAGTGGATGCCAAGTTATTATTATCGAAATAAATAAAAAACAAATTATTAATGCTAATGTTTCCGAGGGCCCCTATCTACGATGCAGAAAAGATTGTGTTTTGCTGTGGCTAGCTGCACACACGCTGAGTAGATAGAAAGAAGAATTATGTCGATTTTGAAGATTTCCTGCAAAAAGATGGAACACGATGCAAGTAGATGCGAGAAATGAAGGAAGATTTTTCGAAGATTGATTCGCTAGTGTTAGATTTTTTGAGCATCTAGAATTGAGATTTAGATGTGTCGCCCCCCTCGAATGTTTCCGCCATTTCAATGAAATATGCGAAAAATCAAATTAAAATTAATTTCTAAATAGCTCAATTATCGAAAATGTATACTTTTGTACCTATCGATCCATCATCTAATGAACCGGGGACCAACGGCTTTACTTCCCTTCCGAAGGAAGGCGTGATGATCAGAGATGTTATGCCTCAGAACATCCCGGCGGCGCTGACTGGGATTGAACCCAGGCCTGCTGGGCTGAGAGGTAATCACGGTTACCACTACACCACCGGTGCAGAGTTGTTACAGTTTGTATTAAGGCCGGTATAGAGATCATAGTGAAGCGAAAATCTCATACAAAATACTAAATTTTTCACCTGCGTGAAAAACGCAATGTGCAAATATTTCACTTCGCTTTGAACTGTAAACAGATACGATCCATGCGAAATCTAATTTTGTGGATCGCATCTTTTTCGCGCATGCAGCGCTCGCGAAAAGAGCAGCAGCTAAGCGAAAAGTTGACGTTTCGGGAGAGCGTATCTGTCAGATTTTCACTTCACCGGAGGTGTAAACTGATCGATTTCGTTTCACATGAACTATAAACTGCGAAAAAAGGAAACTGGAAAATGTTCCACAAACATTTTTTCACAACCTTTTTCGCTAGCGAAATTTCATGATTTTTCGCGTGCTTCAATTTTCGTTTCGCTTCGATCTGTATAAGCCTAGTATACAGATCGAAGCGAAACGAAATTTGAAGCACGCGAAAAATCATGAAATTTCGCTAGCGAAAAAGGTTGTGAAAAAATGTTTGTGGAACGCTGCATGCGCGAAAAAAAATAAACGTAAGCGAAAAAGATGCGATCCACAACATTAGATTTCGCTGGATCGTATCTGTTTACAGTTCAAAGCGAAGCGAAATATTTGCCAATTGCGTTTTTCACGCAGGTGAAAAATGCAGTATTTTGTATGAGATTTTCGCTTCGCTTCGATCTCTATACAGGCCTATACTAGGCTTTAGCTATCAAAAGCAAACGCATCGAGAAACGTTAAATCGAGTTATTAACAAAAGAGAAAATCGACGAAGATAATCGATCATCGCGTTTACGTCCTTATGCATGCTCACTGCGAGGCTCACTGTCGAATTATACATATCAAGCTGAACATTGCATTAGGTCCTAAGTAACATTGATGGATTCTCATCGTCGATTTTTTCTTTCATTAATAACTTGAGCAAACCGTTTCTTGGTGTGTTTGTTGTATTAGATGCTAGATAAAAGCTTCTTTTATCGATATGTGTGATGAAAATTCCTGGGAATGTCTTTACATGGCCATGGGGATACAAATAGAAAGTCGATGAAAAGAATCTGTCAACGTTACTTAGTAACTAAGGGGTCATCCATTAATTATGTCACACATTTAGGGGGGAGGGAGGATTTAATTATTTTTCGGTTCCGTTATGCTATTGCAAATTAGAGAGATTCTAGTATAAGAGAAGAGCGGATTCAACACAAACTTCCTTGGCGACCTATGCCTAGGTGATTTTTAGCAACACTGACAATGAATCAAGATAGGCGCTGCTCGATTGGTTATAGCTTTGACAGTTCGTTTGGTTCAGAACCAGCCAGTCCACTCCTCTCTTATACTAGACCCTCTCTATTGCGAATGAGTCTTGACAAATAAGCAAACTAAAATAACAAAATGAATGAAACGAAATGTCCGATAAAATGCAGCATGCACAAAGAAAAATCGTAGCTAAAAAAAAAACATTGGTAGAATTAAAAGTTTGCATTGGCTCTTTTGGGTAGAAAGCGGTTAGCTTCACGGTTAGCTTTCAAAACGAAAGTCAATCAACTGTCAAATCAAAAGTTTGTCGGCCATTACTTTTAAAAGTCGAAACTTTCAAAACGATGAACTACTGCCAAATTAAAAGCTAATTCAATTCAAACTGTTGAAATGACATGTATACTCTAGTGTATACTCATAGAATTCCACACATTTTTATTGACGAATTTCCATGTTAAATTCCAAATGATTTTTATTTGACCACACATAAACAGAATCCACCAAGAAGCACACATGAAATTTATGAGTCAAATGAATAATATGTGTGGTTACACATGGCTTTTATGTATACACATATTAAGTATGTGTCTGCTTTTTTTTAACGTTTTTTAAAATTCAAATTAAGAAACGCTTGCTCTAAAAATGAAAATATTTTATTTCAGATTAAAAATAGCCCATGTTATTTTAACTACACCCCACTTTCCTGGTAAAAGTTTGTTTTGAAATTAGAATAATTCACTTTTAATTTTAACACTGCAACATTTTTCATTTAACTACAATTCGTTTTGAAAGTTTAAACTTTTAAAACTAGAGATCGAGCAACTTTTGAATTGAGAGTTGACAGACTTTTGTTTTGAATGCTAATGACTTTCTACCAAAAAGAACCAATGCAAACTTTCAATTCTACTAATGTTTTTTTTTTTAATTTCATAAACGAATATTTTTTGTGTGTAGATATAATTTGTGGATCACATTGCAAAAATCCATGTGTGGGACACATAAAAACAATCTATGAAATTCTATCAGTATAGTATTTTCAATCGAAAAATTGAATATTTTTAGTTAAAAAACCAGCGTTTCCAGCTTAATCACGTTATAAATTATAGCATTTTTTTTATTCGATCCATACCAGCGGCAGGCGCGTAGGCACCATGTTATTGTCGGTAGACTTGGAAACCGAAATGACCCACTCGCGACAATCGATTTTACTCTCGTTCTGTACGTTAAACATAACGTCGCATCTATTGCGCTGTATTCGTTAAATGATGCGCTATAATGATGCGTTAAATGATGCCCTAGA